ACTCACATACAAGCTACATAAATAAATATCATTAAAAAAAAAAAAAATTCTTATATCATTATTTGTATTATTTACATTACTATCTGAAATTCGTATACACACACATACAGTAAATCCAACAGAGACATTGCTTACCTGATCACAACCAGCATTGACGAGATCCTGTAGCATCTGTCTATTGACTTCACCAGGATGCCCCGAGCTGGATCCCGGGCCTGATTCATTGGCAAAAGGCAATAGAGACTTGCGGATCTCTCGCAGGGCATTTTGGTAGTTGTTGAACTTCTGAGGCTGCCGGAGCTGTTGTTGCCTTCCAGCTTGGTCTTTGCCCTTAGAGTCCCCACCTCTGCCCCCCTCCCCTCGAGCGCTCCCTCCATGAAGCGCCTGGCTCACCAGCTTTGCAGGTTGTTTCAGTCCCTCCTTGATCTCCTGCAGGCGCTGGCGCGTGTTGCCCACATATGGGGCGGCAGGGAAGGTCTTAGGCCTCATGAGTGAAAGTGGCCTGTACACACAAATTCTCCACACTTGAAAAACACAGAAAGATTTAGCCAGTTACTCACAAGAAAACACACAACGGCAGTGCAATCATACACTAAGACACAGAATTGTACACACCCAGGCTCAGTCTGACCTGAATAGATAACAGGCTGCAATGGGAAAGATGCAAGGGAAGATTAGGATTCCTGTTGTCGCTCGTCTTTGTTGATGCTGCCTCTTTGGCTCTGGCTCGTGCTGGATGCTGGCCTACTCACATCCCAGCACCCCTTTCAGGGCTCACACTCCCCCTCCTCCCAAGACATGTGAGGGGTTACGTCTGCGTACTTGTTCCATCCCATTCTGGTATGCATCTTTGCCTGTGGAGACAGTGTTAGACAGAAGGGTCAGGGTGCGGTCCAGGCATGTCCAAGTCCCTGCATCACTACTCTATGTCAAATGCCTGACAGTCGGAGTCTGATCAGACATTAGCACCTCTGTCAACAGGTAGGTTTATCACTAAACACATGCACATCTGTGCTGTTACTTCCTTGGTCATATGTTCCTTTCATGGTCATATGGCATTGGCAAACCCTTATTGTAGATGCAAAATCGAACATCTACACAACACAAAGAGTGTCATAACTTATACAATATACTTTGTATCTTATGACAACATTGAAAAGTTTGGGGTCAATTTTTTTAACCAATTAATTCTTTTATTCAGTAAGGATGCATTACATTGATGTTAAAGCAAAACAAATGTGGCAGTAAAGGCATTTATACAAAGATTTCTATTTAAACTTTTAAACCATTCATCAAAGAATCCTGACAAAAAAAATCATAAC